CATTCTAGATTGCTTGTCCTTCAGATTACCAGAGGTAATGGTGGAAAGTTTAGAGCATATCACCACTTAGCTTCAAGCCAGCCAGTCTTCCCTAGTCCCAAGGGGAAAGAATTGAGAACATTTCTGTACACCACCTATTTTCCAGTAGCTTCATTTTTTATTACCCAGTTTTAACATTCTAACCAGTGGACATTGTCATGGCCTTTTTTATTTTATAATTTGACTTTTAATAGTCTAATACTAATTTCTGCTTAACACCTTATTTTTTCCCCTATATTGTTATGTTATGGTTGTGTCCTTGCTATACTATGATACATATTTCTCTTCAGTTGACCTTACCACTTTTTGGCTGTCTTAGATGTTTCTTATCTTCCAAAAAGCTGCCAAATTGATATTCCTAAAGTAGAGATCTAACCGTGGGACCTCTCTTGCTTAATATATTGAAGTGGCTCCCTCTTGCCTCCAGGATTAAATAAAAACTTCTCAGTTTGGCCTTCAAAACTTTTCTTGTCATCCAGTAGAACTGGACAGTCCAAAGAACAGGAGTCTTGGAAGGTGAGGCCCCAGAGTCAGTTGCTGCTTTTGTCCCTTACTGCCTGTGAGACTTTGGGGACAGCACTTTACCTTTCTGGTCCTCAGTTTCCTCTTCTGTAAATGAGGAGGCTGGATTAGATGGCCTCTTAAAACAAAAGTAGTTAGAAAAGCAGTACCCAGCAGTTGGGGGGATCTGGAAAGGCTTCCCCAGGTAAATGGTGCTAGAAATGTGCCTGAAAGAAAGAGAAGGCTTCTCTGAGATGGAGATGACAGGGCAGAGCCTCAGAGACAGGAGATGGAGTGCCGTGTGTGTGTGAGGGAGAGACAAGACTAGTGGAGCTGGGAAGGAGACTGAGGGTAGAAAAAAATGCCTTAAATGAGGGCAGAACGATGGGGTGGAGCTAGTTTGTGAAGGGCTTCAAAGGGTAAAGAGAGGGAATTTATATTTGATCCTAGAAGCAATAGGGAGCCACTGGAGTTGAAGGAGTAGGGGAGTGACGTGGTCAGATCTGTGCTTAAGGAAAATGATTGTGGCAGCTTTGTATGAGATATACTAGAGTGGTCCCATACTTGAGGTAGTATAGTCAAGACGAGATGTGATGAGGTCGGTAATTAATATGGTGACTGTGTGAGTGGCGACCATGGGGCTGAATGCAAAAGAAACTGTGGAGATAGAAAAAGGACAAGATTTGGCAACTGATGGATAATCAAATAAGACTGAGGGAGAATGAGAAATTGAGATAAAGTTGAGGCTTTATAAACCTAGGAGCCTGGAAGGTGCTCTTGACTGAAATGTTATTTGTCCTTTGTTCTCAAAGAAGACCATGACATCAGGAATGCGATGCCATGACTTGCAAGTGAACTGGATTTAATTGAAGGAGGGCTATGCAGAGTCGCTAGCCTCATTCTCTTCTCTGGAACCATCTGGGTCCAGTGGCCAGATATAAATCAGGACAACTGGCCATATCCCAGGATGTAGTGGGAGACCTTGGCCTTTTAAGTGAAGGTCTTTCCCAGGCCTCAGTCTCATTGAAGTAATGTTCACTCAAATGATTAATGACTAGGTAAGAAGTGAGGCAAAGAATGACCTCTTTTACTTATTTGGGGAGGGGGGAATCAATTTGAGAGGGGAAGATCCTCAGCATTTCTGGCCAAACAGAAACAATTGCTATTTACATATACTCTGAGCCTTCAGGGCCCAATCTGTTTAAATGACCAAATAAAGTTTGGATTGGAGCCTACTGTTGGCCAATCAGTGGACAGCCAGTGATTTGAGTTTAAGGCATGGTCCTTAAGGACTGAAATAGAGAAGTTTGCAAGAGAAAAGGGTTTGGAAGGCATAGGAGCAGTAAAGGTAGATGGTGGGAGTCCTCTGGGGTTGAAGTTGGCAGTGAGGTAAGGGGGTAAAGGTAGTAGAGGACAGTGTAGGCTTGAGATGAGGTCAGAGCTGGGGTAATGTCCTGAGAAAGTACTGATTGGTAGAGGCATTTCAGGTCATGATGAGGGTAAAGAGCTGGAATAGAGGAATATGGGGATTTTTGTTGGAGGAAAAGAAACATGTGGGTAATAATGGGATTGAGAATGTGTGACCATCCCTGTAAGGGGCTGAGGTGGAAGATTAAATCAAAGGGGCAGCTAGGTGGTGCAGTGGATAAAGCATAGGACCTGAGTTAAAATCTGCCTTCAGACACTTGACACTTAACTAGCTGTGTGATCCTGGGCGAGTTACTTAACCCCAATTGCCTTGCAGCAACACCACCACCAGCAAAGTAAGTCAGGAGATTTGGGGAGGTTGGGAAGTCAGGGAGCTTAAAGGAGCATTGACCTGAATGTCAGAGTCCTCTAGGATAAGCACAGGAGTTGCAGTAGAAGAAGAAGCCGATGGTGAGCTAGGTGATGAACTCCTTTAGAAAGGAAGGAAAGTGACTTGGCCACTGGTGCACAACAGCTACCATAATTGGAAAAGAGTGGGAGAGTTTAATGGAGAGAACTTCAAAGGGGGAGAGGGTGCCGGAGGATGGTGGCTAGCAATTATGGACACTCCTATTACTCCATCTTTAAAACTGTGATCCTGCCTTTTGGCTTCGGACCTGTTGCTCTACTTCAGCAGTCTTAAGTTCTAGCCATGCTGACCTTCTTGCACCCTGGAAACAACACTCCGGCTCCCAGCTTGGTAGCTCACCTCCATACAGGCTGGGCTCCATCTTCCTTTCCTCTGCCTCAGAAACTCCTTGGCTTTCTGTAGTGCTCGACTCCGTTGTGGCATCTTCACAGGAAGCCTGTCCTGCCACGTCTCTACTGCCCTCCTCCCCAGGTGATACATTCTTGTTCAATTGAATTGAATAATCAGATTGCTATCCCAGGTAAAATGTAAATGAATTCTCCCTCACTTGAAGTCTTTAAGCAAGGGCTGGATGACTGCTCCAACTTTGGTGGAGAGGGAAAGAAGAGTTTCAGTTTGGGTTGGACTTCATGACCTCTGAAGTCTCTTCCAACTTTGAGATTCTCTGATTTCTTGTAGGCCAACACTATCAGTCAATCAGTCATTAAATATTACATTCCTCCTATGTGCCAGGCACCACGTTAAGTGTTGGGGATACAAAAAGAAGCACAAGACAGTTCCTGCCCTCAAGGAACTTGTAATCTAACAGGGGAGCTGACGTGCAAGCAGATTTTTATAAAGCAAGCTGTATACAGGATAAATGGGAAATAATTAAGAGAGATAAGGCACAGGAAGTAAGAAAGGTTGGGGAAGGCTTCATGTAGAAGGTGGGATTTTGGGGGCAGCTTGGGATTTTGGGGGCAGCTAGGTGGCGCAATGGATAGAGCACCAGCCCTGAAGTCAGGAGGACCTGAGTTCCAATGTGACCTCAGACCAAACACTTGACACTTACTAGCTGTGTGACCTTGGGCAAGTCACTTAATCCCAGTTGCCTTAAAACAAAGAAAAAAAAAGGTGGGATTTTAGTTGGAACTTGAAGAAAGCCAGAGAAGTTAGATAAGGTTAAGGAAGGAAATACATTTCAGGCATGGGAGACAGCTGTTCATGGAACAGCTGGGAGGCCAGTGTCACTGGATGGATGAGAACGTTTCAGGGAGTAAGGTATAAGAAGACTGGAAAAGTAGGAGCGGGCTGGGCTGTGAAATGTCAAACAGAACATTTGTATTTGCTCCTGCAGGCCATGAGGAAGCCACAGGAATTAATCTTGAGTAGGAGTATGATACAATCAGACCTGGTGTTTTTTTAGGAAAATCACTTAATAGCTGAATGAAGGATGGATTGGAGTGGAGAGAGGCTTGAGGCAGGCCCATGAGCAGCTATTGCAGTAATCTAGGTGTGAGGTGATGAGGGCCTGCACCAGGGGGATTGGCAGAGGAGAAGAGGGGATGTATTCAAGACGTATTACAAAGGTAAAATCTACAGACCTTGACGACAGCTTAGATATGGGGGGGTGAAAGACAGTGTGTGTCCAGGGTGACTACTAGGTTGGGAGCCTGAGGGCCTGGGAGGATGGGGGTGCCCTTGACAGTATTAGAGAAGGTAAGAGGGAGAGAGTGTATAGAGGGGAAAGATAATGGGTTCTGAGTATCTTATTTCTGTTTTTGTATTCCCCGACATTTAGCACAGTATTTTGTACACAAGAAGAATTTAATAAATAAGTATAGGTTATAATGAAAAGGTGCCCCATATTCCTTTAAAAATATCAGTTGTTAAAGTCTGTTTCTGGTCCATACCTAGAAATTCATTAGTATTCCCTTAATTTTGCTTCCTAATAGCTTGGTTTTGTTGTTTACCACCAAAGGCATTATTTTAGTTTTTAGTGTGATGAGAAGTAATCCTTAAGAAAAATTACTCAGTTTTAGTTGGTGTTTGAGAAAATGGCTTTTAAAAAAACTGTTTTATAGAAAAGTCAGCTGATGGTATGTATCATTATTGATATCTCTAGAGAGAAGAGGAGACAGTTATATTTATTTTGGACTCCTGAAGACAGAAGAAATATGAGGTGGTTTATGTCGATAAAATGAATGCTTCCAAACTGTTCAGCTGATACAGTTCCTTGAATTCCTGGCCCCTCCATGTCCCCTTTCCCCAGCCAACTGTAATGTGGAGATAAAGCGCTACAAAGTTAAATTATGAGAGGTTAAAATAGTGGGAACCTTCTAGAGAGTCAAACTCTCTTATTTTAAAGATGAGGAAACTGAAGTCTATAGAAGTAAAATAATGTGCCTAAGGTTACACAGCTTAGAAGTGTCTGAGGCCAGGTTTGATCTCAAGGCTTCCTGACTCCCAGGCCAGTGTTCTGTCTACTATACCTGCTTCCTCTCTAAGAAGTTGCCAGTTGGTTACATTTTGGGGTTCTAATAAATAAGCAAAGTACTTTTATAAACTGTGGTTTTGTTTCCTGAGTTGATGCATGTCCTAGTATGTGTCTGACCTTTTAAACACTTTTTCCCCCCCCTTTCAGTGTAAGAGTAATGAAGATGGAGAAACAACTGTGGTCGTTGAGAAGGACCATTTCATGGATGATTTCTTCCACCAGGTAAGATGCTTAAAGGAACAGACAGCTTGGGAACATGTTCAAGTAGGTCAGTTTTTGTAAGCGTGCAGTTCTCAGGTGCAGAGAATATAGGATTTTGGCAAGTTGCTGTTTGAATAAAAACTTCTGAAATCAGAAGTAGTATTCTAATAGTTAATTTAGGGAGAAAATATAGATTTTACTGTTTTTACATGACTCAAACCTAATTAATGTTTGATCAGACGTACTGTTTCTGTCTTTTTGAAATTAAGCCTTTAAGCAGATAACTTAGCTTTATTGAATGTCAAAGAGAGATGTGTCAACTTGATTTTCCATTTTTCTGGAAGCTTCAGTTTTTTAAAATGCTAATTTTAGGAATAGCTAGGTGGCGCAATGGATAGAGTACCAGCCCTGGATTCTGGAGGACCTTAGTTCAAATCCGGCCTCAGACACATAATACCTAGTAGCTGTGTGACCCTGGGCAAGTCACTTAACTCCATTGCCTAGACAAAAACAAAAAACAAAAAAAATGCTAATTTTAATCATATGTGAAGGACTAATCAGACTTCTTTTTTGAAAGAATCACACTATATTGGAATACATTGAATTATGGTTACTCCCATTACTGTATTCCTGGATATAGGCATTCCAGATACATTATCAACACCAGAGATACCGATTTTCCTCAATACATACATTTCCTAATATGTGTGAATTTAATTACATACTAAATTCCCAAGACCATTTCATTTCAACCATGTAGTTGCTGTTTTTGCATAATGAAGAGAACAGGAAATTAAATTAAGTATTTAAAGATATAAAAATAAAGATGACTTAATTTGAAATTAAAATGGACTAGAAAGTATTTGATTTCTTGATTTCACTCTTGTAGCCAGCTTCCACAATGCACTGTTTTATTTTACTGCTTTATTGGCACCTATTAGTAATCTAATAGTAAGTCTCTTGTATCTCCTTTGTAAGGTGTCATTAGTATGTTGGGCTTTGCTCGTGTTGTCTGTAAATCTTTTAGTGGCTGGCCCCACTTGTTTCTTTTGAAATATGTTTCTTGAAAAGAACCACCTTATGTAGCATTAAGCTTTGCTGTCATATTTCAGTGAGAAGATGCATTAATTCATTGCATGCTGTTCATTTGGAGTCTTTTTTGGGAATAGATCCTTGCCATCAGTGTGAAGAATGCAAAAATAAGAGCAGATTATTCCTAGACTATGAAATTGTTAGTTTAACAGTAGCTAGCTTTATAAAGTGAACTTTTATTCTAATTTGATTGTGAAGTAAATTAACTGCTCTTTTTAAAAAAAATCACCACTGGGATTAATGTAGAGGAGATATTTGCTATGGCAGATGTTCATTCTATGAAAATGTCATTTAGGTTTTAAAGATAGTGTAGCATACTGTGGAAAAGAAAGTTGTGATTTGAAAGAAATCCAGTTTTAGTGAATATAATTTGTGATGGGAATGGCAAAGAATCTTTCTCTTGTTAATAATGAATGTGAGTAAATGGTGTCTGGCTGTACTGCAGTCATTCTGATGTTGATATGGAATCCTTAGGCCTGTAGCTGGTTATTGCTGCATATGCTAGTGACAGGCAGAGTTAATAGAAAATTTTGTTAATGCTTCCTCTGATGCAAGCTTACAATTGCATTTCCTTTTGCCTGTGAGTTGTTGAGGATGACAACATCCATATAAGCTTGTGTATAAAATAACTCAAAACTTTCATTGTTTATATGTAAACCTTTGTTTTAAAATGCAAGTTTTTGGAAAGCATTTGTATTTAATTTGATTTTATGTGAATAATAAAATTAGTATACACTATTAATAAATGAAGGAGTATAGAAATGCCACAAACTGTATAAAATTAGAAATATTATCAGGGCCTAAAGATCTGTGATTTCGTCCATGCTTTCTCCACCAATGGATATCAGAGTCCTTTCTTGCTGCCCTTGTAGTCTCTTCTTAGCCTTGGGTTCTTGAGTTTTTTTCCAGTGGAGTGTAAACTATTGGAGTAGCTAACACCTCAAAAGGCTTTCAAAAAAGGCTCTGGGGTAGAATGGTTGTCTCCTATCTAGAAACCAATGTGGAGAGGCAGACAGAGGAAAGCTCAGCACCCAAGCCACTGGCGATTTTTAAAAAAGTAACAGTGACCTCTGAGACAGATAAAAATACAAATTACCCCTCATTGGTTTTACTTCCCCATAGTGACGGTGGTAGAGAGATAGCATGGGGCAGTGGGAAGAGCATTTGACTTGGAATCTGAGGACCAGGGTTTGAATCCTGGCTCTGCCTGAGTTGTCTTGGTCAGGCCCTTCAGCACCCTGGGCTTCAGTTTCTTCTGATATAAAATTTAGATGACTCCTGCAGTCCTTATTGGCTCTCTGTCTTGAATCCTGTAGCCTTAGACAGCTCACTCACTTTGTTTCTCTGGGCTTCAGTTTTCTCATGTATAAAGTGGGTCTTGGACTTGACCCTCATGGTGGATCCTTTCCAGTTTTAAAATATGTGATCCTGTGACCTTAGGAAATGGTCTTCCTGAGTTCCTATGGCCTAAAAAATGCCCATCGTCTAGACACCAGATTTCTGGTGATAGCCTTTCTGAATTTAGCTGGGCTGACCTTCAGGTGATGAGACCATCGTGTATGACTGGATTTACAGCCAAAGCGTCTTCACTTTGTTGGCCCTGGCCACAGCCTCCTCTCTGCTGATACAGCCTTCAAGAGTGCAGCTAAGGTATTGAAGTAGAACGTTAGTGTAGGAAATTATTGTTATCAAAAATAAGCAGAACTGCACATTTGAATATTCTCCATCACATGACTTTTGGAAGTGAAACTGATTTCTCCTTTAAATAAAGGAAGCTACTAAGTGAAGGCACTGACCAGAACAAGCTGTCTTGTGACATGGTGCCAGACTAGACACCATGCTATGTGAATATTGATGTAAATAAGTTAAATTACTCCTGTGAAGTGGCAATGTTGTTGACTGTCAGGACCCCGAGACTTGGGAGCAGTGAAAGTTGATAGCGCTTTGTCACTGATATGTTTACCTTTGACTGTTCTCCACGTGGCCAAAACTTAACATCGAATGAATTATGTTTGGATACGTGAAGCTACCTTGGGCCTCTGGGGAAACTTTAGTAAATACATACCTTAATCCACTTATCGGTGCTGATGGTCATAGTATCTGATGTATTTGATTGAAATGATTAATTTCCTCCTTGAACTGTAAGGGCCAGTAATACTATATGTGGGCAGCTAGGTGACTCCTGAGCTTGGAGTCAGGGAGACTTGAGTTCCAATTTGGCCCCTGACACTTACTAGCTGTCTGACTCTGGGCACGTTACTTTAAAAACAAAAACAAACAAAAAAAAAAGGTGGTTTGCCTCAGTTTCCCCATCTGTAAAAATGGGGATAATATACTTCCCTTCAAGGGTTGTTGTGAGAATCAAATATGATAATATTTGTGAAGTGCTTAGCGCAGTGCCTGGCACATAGTAGGAGCTCTGTAAGTGCTAGCTATTATCATTATCATTATTATTATTATTATCAGATCCTTCATTATAAGTCATATTTCATCCTAGGTTGTGAAATGCCATAAATAATTTATGCTTGTCACTGATGTTGCCTCAGCAGGAAGAGAAAAGCTTAAATGTGCTGACATTTCTCTTTTTAATTTTAAATCAAAGATTATCAATAAGTGAGAAACTGGCTCTCATTTAGCCTTTTATTTCTCAGGTTCGCTTGAAAATTTATTTTCTGAAATACTGCATGTAAAAATTCACAATAAATTTTAATTTACCAATATCTCTCTTTCCAGGTTGAAGAGATTAGAAATAATATATCCAAAATAGCACAGATTGTTGAAGAAGTAAAAAAAAATCACAGCATTATCCTCTCGGCACCAAATCCAGATGGAAGTAAGTTTCTGTATTTTACAACTGATAATCTTCTGAAAAAATACATAGGATTAATTACTTTTTTTAAAGTAGTATTTTATTTTTTCCCAATTCTTTATAAAGAAAATTTTTAGCATTCATTTTTATAAGATTTTGAGTTTCAAATTTTTCTCCCTTCCTGCCTCCCCTCTTCTGAAATGGTAAGCAATTTCATATAGGTTATATGTGTAATCGTATAAAACATATTTCCATATTAGTCACAGTTGTGAAAGAAGAAACAGACCAAAAGGAAAAAAAACACGAAAAAAATAAAGTAAACGAAAAAAGTAAGCTTCTATCTGTGTTCGGAGTCCGTCAGTCCTTTATCTGGATGTGGAGAGCATTTTCCTTCCTGAGTCCTTTGTATTTGTCTTGGATCATTGCATTGCTGAGAGGAGCTGAGTCATTCAAAGTTGATCCTCACACAATGTTGCTGATACTGTGTACAATGTTTTCCTGATTCTGCTCATTCACTTTGCATCAGTTTGTACAAGCAATGACTTTTTTTTTCAATAATTTTTTTGGAGTAGGCCTTTGATTTCATTGGTATAGAGCAGTCCCAGTGAGGAACCTCCCTCTGCCAATGCAGATGGAAACCTGTTCTACAACTGATAAGACAGAGGTGTCAGTCACACAGGCCACATGCTGGGCCAGATTAAAATGCATTTGGAAAATATTTAATGAAATAAATATAATAGAACATCGATAATGTTAATAATTTGTGGTTTTCTAAGTCCAGCAGCAAGAGACAGAAAGAGAAATTCCATTTAAATTAACTGCAGACAATCTAAAATACTTGGGAGTCTACCTGCCAAGATAAACCAGGGAATGAAGGAATTTCAGAAACCTGGGAAGACCTGTATGAACTGGTGCAGTGAAGTAAGCAGAACCAGGAGAACAATTTACACAGTAACAATATTATGAAAACAGACAGCTTTGAAAGACTTAGGAACTTTGGTCAACACAGTGATCCACCAGGATTCCAGAGAACTCATGATGAAATATGTGACCTGCCTCCTTCCATGCTGAGGTGATAGATGCAGAATGCACATTAAGACACAACAGGGACAACAGGAAAATTTGTTTTCTGTATCTGTCTGTATTTATTAAAAGGGCTTTATTTTTTCTTTTTTCGATGGGAGTGTGGTAGGACAGGAGTGAGAGGGGGAGAAGGCAGATTTTGGGTAACTGAAAAAAAAGTCACTACAGTGACTTAGGTTTGAGCCAAGGAATTTACTGAGATAGGCTAGCAAGAATTGTGTGAAACAGGCTAGCAAGAGTTGTGTGGCACCTTCTTCCTCCCCTCTGCTGGGCTTTCTCTCTCACAAAAGCCCTTGCTTTCTCTAGGAGAAGAGCAGGCTCCAACTCAAAGTACAGTCATCATGTGCCCCATCACTGCTCCTGGTGCCCGGGGGCCGGTGAGCCTTTTGTTCTTCAGAGAGGCCTCACCTTGCTCCCCTTGGGGGTAGAGCTCTTCCGGGTTCCCAGCCTCTGCTCTTTTCTTGTCTCCATAGCTGATACCCCAGCACTATAAGAATCCCTGGGGCTGCCTGTTGTCTCGGAAGACCATCTCTCCATCCCTGTGTTTCTCCTCAGTGTGTGTCTGTGCTCCTGCGGCATATCATGTCTTCTGGTTCAGTAGCTCCAGTGACATGGTTGATGTCAGGTGGGAGAGGAGAGACGGTTCTCCCTGTCCCTTCTCCTGCTTGCAGCCTTCTGCTATAGGATTAGTGCCTGCACTGGCCTAGTGAATAGCTTGTTGTTTTTACATATAGGCTGAGCAGTGTGATTCTCTTATTCAGACACAGGTGTATCTGCATAGTGCTTTTTGTTTTCATTCAGCAACTCAAGGCCCTGTCATCTTCCCAGATTGATTAAGGACTTATTTGTACATCGTGGCACAGTTGTTGGAAAATTCCTGAAAGTCCACTTTACCCTCTGTGATTGTATGAATCTGAGATAGGAGAGTGATCTTCCTGCCTCATACCCTTCCTCCTCTATACCCTCCATAGATCTTCTTCTGGGTCTCATGTTTCATGGGAACCAGAGCAACACTCGGGATATCTACCTGTTGTCTTTCCTAGTGGGGCTTATTCATCTTTTTTTATGGTCACTTCTATCTAATGATGCCTCACTTTAGGTGAAGTCACCTTGGGGATATACTTCAAACTATGCAGTCTTTGTTGTTCAGTCATTAACAGTCTCTGATGCTTTGTGGACCCTATTTTCTGTTTTCTTGGCAAAGATACTGGAATGGTTTGTTGCAGCTCATTTTACAGATTAGGAATTGAGGCAAACAAGGTTAAGTGACTTGCTCAGGGTCACACAGTTAGTAAGTGTCTGAGGCCAGAGTTGAGCTCATGAAGATGTCTTCCTGATTCCAAGCCCAGTGCTCTGTGCACTATGGCGCCACCTAGCTGCCCCGCAGTAAATCTACCACATATTTTTTCCGGTACCCTTTGTCTAGTCACTTACAGTTTTGATGCTCCTGAGATCACAGTATTTCCATGGTTCACATCCATGTAATATCCCTGGTGTTAATTGATTGTTTTGGCAGCAGAAAACAGCATGGAATCATTCTAACCATTCTACACTTTCCCAAATGTAATCCAGCCAGTTGTCCTCGTGGTCAATTCGGAGCCCAGCTTGTTGTCCATCTAAATGCTTATACAAGATACTTTGAAGGACAAACAGATGGGCTGCAAGTCATAATATGGTTATATGAACTGGCTTTTTTTCCTGTGGTTAGTACCAGCTGACCTTTTTTTTTTTAACATTTATTTTTAAAAGTTTGAATTATTTGATTTTCAGATTCTCCCCAGCCCCTTTCCCACCCATTGAGAAGACAAGCAATATGATACCCATTATGCGTGTGAAGTCATGTAAAACATATTTCCATATTAAGGACTGATCTTTTTTGAATGACTGTGGATCTTTTTTATTTTATTTTTTAAATATTTATTTATTTGTTTGTTTGTTTTTAGTTTTCAGCATTCACTTCCACAAGATTTTGAGTTACACATTTTCTCACCCTCCCTGAGATGACATGCATCTGATACAGGCTGTACATACACATTTATATTAAACATATTTTCACATTAGTCATGTTGTAAAGAAGAATTAGAACCAATGGGAGGAATCATGAGAAGGAAGAAACAAATCAAAAAAAAAGAACAAATAATATTCTTCGATCTGCATTCAGACTGCATAGTTTTTTTTTTTCTTTCTGGATATGGATAGCCTTTCCATCATGAAGAATGACTGTGGATCTTAAGTATGGAAGGGAGGCCGGGTAGCACTGTAGGGCTTGATTCAGCCAACACAGTGTTGTGTGCAGACAGGAGCTTTGGGATAACTTATCAGTTAATAGGAACTTCTTCCTCCATTTTTACATGGAATAGTAGAGTCTCCATGGGCAAACTTCTTTGGTGAGCTTGTCTCCATGTTTTATACCTCATTTGATATTGATTAATGAACGAATTATTTCTCTAAATTCTCCAGTGAATTTTATATGATTTTGACATTAACCTGTCCTCCACTCACTGACCAAAGTAATCATTGCCCATTCAGTAAACTCCAAAAGACTTGCTGTTACTTCTGGGAGCAAGAATAAAACCTTCTGTTTGGCCTTTAAAGCTCTTCACAGCTCGACTCTTTCCTGACTTTCAGGTCTTCTCGTACTTTATCCCTATGGATGTTCTCTGTGACCCAGCAGCACCGGCCCTATATGACTCTCCCCTAGGCCTAAAATGTTCTTCCTCCTTACCTCTGTCTCCTGGCTTCCCTTTCTTCTTTCAAAATGCAGATGAAAACTCCCCTTCTGTAGGAGGCCTTTCCTAGTTCCGTGCTGGATGCCGATGCCTTCCCTCTGGGATGATGTCCAGTTTATCCTGTGTATGTCTTGTTTGTATATAGTTGTTTGCATGTTCTCTCTTCTGTTAGACTGGGAGCTCCTTGAGGGCAAAGTCTGTGTTTATCTTTCTTTGCATCCTCAGTGCTTAGCACAGTGCTTGGCACATAGTAAGCACTTAATAAATGCTTGTTGATTGACTAGTGGAGTGTCTCAGTCTCCTTTGCTTGGCATGTTTCTGTCAGTGGCATACTTAGCCCAAATCAGGGAAGGACAGCCAACACCTTGGATCCCAGCATAAAGAACACTGAGGAAAATCTAGTACAATGAAATTTAATATAGATAAATGTATTCTAACTGTGGTGTACCAGAAATAAACTTCCCAAGTATAAGAAGGAGGAGGCTTGACATCTGTTCATCCACAAAGAACTGGGCCTCTTAGTGGACTGCAGTCTCAGTGTGAGTCAGCTCCATGGTGGAGCAGCCAAGAAAGCTCCGGTTGTCACATGACCTTATTCTGCATGGAGATTCATGTGACTGGACCTAGGGAGGCATCAGCCCCACTGTACACATAGCTTGTGTGGTGCTTAGTTTTGTCTTCCACATTTTAGCAGGGGCAGCAGTAAGCCAGAGAGCTGGACAGTGTCTACAGGAAGGCAGATGGGATTTTTAAAGGGATTCGAGGTCATGTCACATGTGGATTGCTCCAAATAGCTGAGGGTGTTTAGCTTGGAAAAGAAAAGACCATGAACAGGCACATGATGGCTGTGGACCAGTATTTCCAGAGTTGTCATGTAGGTCAGAGATGTTGGACTTGGACTGCTTGCCTGCCCACGTGGCCAAGCTAGGAAGAAGGGCTAGATGTCGCAAGGAGGCCAATTCAGACTTGATTTAAGAAAGAACTCAGCAGTGCAAATGCTGGCCCACAGTGGCCTGGGCTGCCTTGGGAAGCCTTGGGCTCCTCCTCGTTGGAGGTCTGAAGGCAGAGGCTAGACGCCCGCTTGTTCCCTGTGTTGTGGAGGGTTTGTTGTTGTGTTGCACTTCCGATGTGGGTTGAACGGGATGGTTTCTTGTGCCTTTTGTCCTTCCTGAGATTTGAGGATTCTATGGAACTTAACTTCTCACGTGAGTCTCCATGTTTTCAAGTGAGTTACGTTTTGTTGAATAACATTTTACTTCCGTTTAGATGCCTTATCTTTTAAGAAGTTCCAAATTTTATTGGTATCTCTTGTTTTTGTATTACCTTCATTTCCAATGTCTCCCTTTCCTCCACTCCATCCAGCGAGTCATCCCTTAGAACCAAAAAAGAAAGAAAATAAATTATTTTTACCCATGCTAACCAATAGATTGATTATGAGAATATTGGAAATGTTCTATCCCTGTAGCCCCTCATCTCACTTTTAGGTCATTAGAATTAGATAGCATTTTCCCTACTTACATTGTTTTAGTCATGTTTACTGTTTTCCTAGTTCCTTTTGCTCCACTCTGCAGCAGTAATTAAAAGTCTTTCTGTGCGTCTCTAAATTTTTCATATTCAGCATTTTTTATAGTGCAGTAATATTTCATTACATTTATATTCCAGTTTAGCCATTCACTAATCGATGGTCTCTAGATGTCCAGTATCATTATGTAAAATAAATATTAATCATTCTCTCTTCTCATTGTCCATTATTTTCCAAACCTCTATTGCCAAGTAATAGCAGAGAGGGCCATCCCATACGTAAGTTTAGAGTTCCTTAAGTTTTTAGTATAGTATTTATGTATGGTCTGATTTAAATTCTACTGTTGTTGTTTAGGTGATTTTTTTTCTTTTCTAAAAAATAATATCGATCAGAATTTTGCACAGAGCAGCTAATGGCCAAATATTTAACTGGTCTTTAAAGAACTCAAATTTTGAAAAAGAGGAAATTAAAAATTAAATGCAAGATATTTTTGTTCTCTTTTCTCTAAGGTGAAATATTTCCTTTTTAAATTCTATTTTTACAGCATTTAGTGCTCTAGATATGCCTGTCATCAGTATTCTTAACTTTTATCTATCTCCCTTGGTTTTTGAATGCTACACCTCATTGGAGATCTATGACAAGTGATTGCTGATAGAGTCTATAGTAGATGTCATACGTACTCCTCATTAACTTAGGATCCATACAAGACAGAAACCTGTGCAGTAAGTAGTCATTGTCTAATTTTAACCCAAAGTAGCTGCCAAGCACCTCCAGGAAACAGTTGGAAGGAAGGAAAAGGCAGAAACCAATGGAATGGTTTGCTGGCTAAAGGGAAAGGCCAGAGGCAGCAGCATTTGTCTAGTGCCATGTGCATAGCAGATTCTCCTAAAATATTTGTGGAATGAATAAATGTAGGAATGGGCAGAGTGGGATTTACTTTCATCATGGTTAGGCTACATGATGTGATGGAAAGGTCACAAGGCTTGGGTTTTTGAAGTCTGGCCCTCTGCTGATTTTGATGGCTTCACCTGTAAAAGAGGAATGGTATTTGCACATCCTACCCCATAGGGGTATTGTGAGGATTAAATGAGTTAATTTGTGTAAAACCATTGTTTTTTGTCCTTTATTCTTGAAGAGGACCATGACATCAGGAAGATGATGCTATGACATACAAGTGAATTGGATTTAAGTGAAGGAAGGCTGTGCAAGGTGATCAGCCTCACTTTCTCCCCTGAAGCTGTCTGGGTTCAGTGGCAAGATATAGATCAGGATGACTGTATTTGGCCCCCAGTGTAAGACTGTATACAGATGTTAACATCATAATGTATTAGCACCTGCTCAGATGTTAGTAATAGGTTGCCATTTGGAAAATATCTTTGTACTGGGTGTTTAATCCAGTGCCACAGAATGACCACGTATGACAGCAAGGTGTAGTGATGATTGTCTTTAGTAGGTGTATGAGGAACATGGTAGAAACTGAAGAAACTCAAGACGGCTTGGAGCTCTGTTTTTGGAGTAAGTCTGACTTGGATTATTAGCACCTTATCTTAAGTGGGGTGAATGCCAATGCGGCATTGGTGATGTAGCCTGTGCAGTAACAACTAGTGGTGCTGTATTTCTTTTACGTTTACTGTTGATCTCTAAATTTTATATCTCGGATTACACTTTGTTTTTAAAGGGACAAAAGAAGAGCTAGAAGAACTGAACAAAGAAATCAAGAGAATTGCTAATAAAATTAGAGCCAAGTTAAAAGGTAAGCTTGAAAGTTTAACTGCTTTTTAGGTAAATGTTTAATATTGACTTTTTGGGAAAGTCTTTGCTTGAATTATCAGTCCTTTTCTATTATCCATTTTAATATGTTTGAAGAACTGAGTGCTGTGAAGAACTGAACATGCGTGCTAAATGTCATTGATTCTTATCATTATGCCAGTTGCTACCTCTTGTTCAACAGTATCAATCACTGAGTTGTGTTACTTTGAGCACTTGATTATGTAATAATCTTTCATAGTCTCATATTTAATTTTCTGATGCTGCTTTTACTAAATTTCTGTTTTAAGCTCAACGTAATTTGTGATTATGTGTATGTATATGTATACATATGTGCACACATGTATATTATATATAGTCAGTGGCCCTTTTAAAAATATTTTTCCCCCAAGTACGTGTAAAAGCAATTTTAAATATTTGTTTTTTAAAATTTTGAATTCAAAATTCTCCCACTTCCTCTTTCCCCCTTCTCCTCCCTCAAGTGGCAAGCAATGTGAAACAGGTTATACATATGCAGTTATGCAAAACATTTCCATATTAGTCATGTTGTGAAAGAGAACACAGACCGAAAAAAACCCCCAATAAAAATGAAGAAAAAAATTTAAAAGTATGCTTTGATCTGTATTCAGACTTTTATCATTTCTTTCTCTAGAAATGGAGAACATTTTTTATCATAAATCATCATTGGAATTGTCTTGAATCATTGTATTGCTGAGAGTGGCTAAGTCATTCACAGTTGATCGTCATACAATATTTTGTTACTGTATATGATGTTTTTCTAGTTCTGCTCACTTCACTTTGAATCACTTCATGTAAGCCTTTCCAGGTTTTTCTGAAATCATCCTGCTTGTTATTTCTTAAAGTATTCCATCACAGTCATATACCATAACTTGTTCTGCCTTCATCCAGTTGAAGGACATGCCATCGATTTACAATTCTTTGCCACTACTAAAAGAGCTGCTATAAATATTTTTGAATATATAGGTCCTTTCCTTTTTTTTTTTGGTCACTTTGGAATACAGACCTGGTAGTGATATGGCAGGGTCAAAGGGTAGGCACAGTTTCTTTGGGCATAGTTCCAAATTGCTCTCCAGAATGGTTGCATTAGTATACAACTCCACCAGTAGTGCATTAGTGTCTCAATTTTCCCATGCCCCCTCTAACATTTGTCATTTTCCTTTTCTGTCATATTAGCCAATATGATAGATATGGAGTGGTACCTCAGAGTTGTTATAATTTGCATTTCTTCAGTCAATAATTATTTAGAGAATTTTTTCATATGACTATAGACAGCTTTGATTACTTCATCTGAAAATTACCTGTTAATATCCTATGACCATTTATCAATTGGAGAATGACTCTTATTTTTATAGATTTGACTCAGTTCTCTATATATTTGAGAAATGAGACCTTTATCAGAGAAACATGCTATAGAAAGTTTTTTACAGTTATGATTAATGTGTATTCCCTCCATCTTATTTTCCCCATTTATCTTACTCTGTCCTTTGTCCATCCTCTAAAGTGTTTTGCTTCTGACTTTTATCTCCTTCAGTCTTCCCTCTCTCCCTCCCCTCTCTATTTTCTCTTATTCTCTTCCCTTCCTACTCTCCTGTAGGGTAAGATAGATTTCTGTACCTAACAGAGTATATGTGTTATTCCCTTTTTGAGCCAGTTCTGATAAGAATAAGGTTCAAGGGCTCCTGTCTACCTCCCTGATCTTCCCCTATACTATAAAAGCTTTTTTGTGCCTCTTTTACGTGAGATAATTTGCCCCTTTTTACCTTTCCCTTTCCTGCCCCTTCATTTTATTTTTTTAAAATATCATCCCATCATATTCAGCTCATCTTATGTCTTCTTTCTATGTATCCTCCCTCTAACTTCCCTAATAATGACAAAGTTCTTAAGAGTTACTGTCATCATCACATGTAGTAATATAAACAGTTTAACCTTATTGAATCTCTTATGATTTCTCTTTCCTGTTTAACTTTTTATGCTTCTCTTGAGTCTTGTATTTGAAAGTCAGATTTTCTGTTCATCTCTGGTCTTTTCATCAGGAATGCTTGAAAGTCCTCTGTTTCATTGAATAGCCATTTTTTTCCCCAAAAGAATATACTCAGTTTTGCTGCATATGTGATTCTTTGTTGTAATCCTAGCTCCTTTGTCTTCTGGAACATCAGATGCCAAGCCCTCCAGTCCTTTAATGTAGAACGGCTAAATCTTGTGTTATTTTGACTGTGGCTCCGTGATATTTGAATTGTTTCTTTCTGGCTACTTGCAATATTTTCTCTTTGACGTGGGCACTCTAGAATTTGGCTATAATATTCCTGGGAGTTTTCATTTTTGGATGTCTTTCAGGAGGTAATGGGTAGATTTTTTCCATTTCTATTTTGCCCTCGGGTTCTAGAATATCAGGGCAGTTTTCCTTGAGAGTTTCTTGAAAGAGGATGTCTAGGCTCTTTTTTTGATCATGGCTTTCAGGTAGTCCAGTAATTCTTAAATTATTTCTCCCAGATCTTTTTTCTAGGTCAGTTGTTTTTCCAGTGAGATATTTTACATTTTCTTCTAGTTTTTCATTCTTTTGATTTTGTTTCATTATTTCTTGATATCTCATGATATCGTTAGCTTCCATTTGCCCAATTATAATTTTTAAGGAATTATTTCCTTCAGCAAGCTTTTGCAAACCTTTTTCCATTTGGTCAATTCTGCTTTTTTAGGGAGTTCTCTTCAGTAGATTTTTGTGTTCCTTTTACCATTTGGCCTATTCTGTTTTTTTAAGATGTTATTTTCTTCAGTATCTTTGTGCTTCCTTTATCAAGCTGTTGACTCTTTTTTTCATGATTTTCTTGCATCACTCACTTCTTTTCCCAGTTTTTCCTCTGTCTCTCTTGTTTGATTTTTAAAATCCTTTTTGAGCTCTTGTAGGAATTCTTTTTGGGCCTGAGACCAATTCACATCTTTTGTTGAGGCTTTGGATAGAGCAGTTTTGACTTTGTTGTCTATATCTGAGTTTCTGTTTTGATCTTTGCTGTAACCATAGTAATTTTCTGTGGTCAGATTTATTTTTTTACTGTTTGTTCATTTTTCCAGGCTGACTTTTAATTGTTAAAGTTGGGCTCTGCTCTTGGGGTGGATGGGGCACTATCTACTTCAGGTTTTTTATGCAACTATTTTCAGAGCTAGTTCTGAAGGTCTGTAAATTTTCAGTTCTTCCAAGGTAGTATGTTTAATGAGAGGTGTGTTTACTCTCCTCCTGGCCTGTGCTGTGGTCTGTGAGTGACTACAAGCATTTTTCACTCTGGACCTGGGACCAGGGTTCTTGCTTTCCTGTGGCCACAAGCTGTAGTGTACTGGTGCTCCTCCTCACCCTGGAACTATGACCCACCCAGGACTGTGACTTGAATTCGTGTATGGGCAGTGCAACAAAGGGCCTCATCCAGTACCAGATAGGGCACCCCTGTCTGTGAGCTGAGTGCCCCAGAAGCTGCTGCCGCTGACTTAGCTGCCCCCAAGAATTTGTTTTGAGGGATTATTTCAAAGTTGTTTGGAGGGAAGTTTTGGGAGAGCTCAGATGAGTCCCTGCCTTTTCTCCACCGTCTTGGTTCTGCCACTCCAGTGGCTTTTTTTTTCCCCAAGAATTCAAAAGAGAAATCTAGACTGGGCATTTAAAAATGATGTGACTTATTTTTATGGTTTGTATTACTCAACTTTGGTAGCAATGGTTTTTGGGGTGTTTGAGTTCTTTGTGTGAGTTAAAATAGAGATTCCTCTGTGACCATGGAAAAACACAGGTCTTTTTAAAATCAAAGTCAAGATTTTCAATTTAATAAAGAGTAATCTCTTAAATGATAATTTTAAATCTCTCTTTAGTAATTTATCAACTTAGTTTTATTTGGGGGAGATCAGAAAAAAGTGGATCCCCTGCAAGAAAACAAGCGATCTGAGAGCAGCATTCAGTGATTTCGTTTGAAACAAAAAAGTGAAAGCTGTTTTCTTTATTCTCAGCTATCGAACAAAGTTTTGATCAAGGTGAGAATGCCAACCGAACATCAGTGGATCTTCGGATACGAAAAACACAGGTTTGACCATCCGCTTCATTTGATGTAAATAAAAGCTCGGAGATCATTCCTCTCTGATTGCAAGTTTATCTTCACACAGTCTTTGCTTCCAAAGTAGGGGCTGTAATATGCATAGAATTAATAAATCAGCTAGTTATTAAGTATCTAGAAAGGGCAGCTAGGTGGTGCAGTGGATAGAATGATGGGCCTGGAGTCAGGAAGATCTGAGTTCAAATCTGGCCTCAGTTACTTACAAGCTGTGTTACCCTGGGCAAGTCACTTAACCTTGTTTGCCTCAGTTTCCTCATCTGTAAAGTGAACTGGAGAAGGAAATGGCAAACCACTCCAGTATTTTTTTTAAGAAAACCCCAAATGGGGTCATGAAGAGTTGGGCATGACTGAAACAACTGAACAAGGGGTATGTAGTCCACACAAGTGCATAACTCCACTCTGGGTCCTGGAGTATGCCTAGTAACAGTTGGAGTGTAAATAAATACATTTAAGATGTGTATTTCTCCATTTTCTTAATGGAGACAAGAAATATAACATTTTGATCAATTTTATCCCTGTTACAGCATTCTGTACTGTCTCGGAAATTTGTGGAAGTTATGACAGAGTATAATGAAACACAGACTTTGTTTCGGGAACGAAGCAAAGGGCGGATACAACGTCAGCTAGAAATAAGTGAGTAAATAACATTGTTATGGTGACTGAAATTTCATCAGCTGTGTGACCATGAAAAAGTGTCTTAACCTGTTTAAGCTTCGGTTTGCTTGTCTGTGATATTGGAATAATAATACTTGTACTACCTCACCGGGTTGTTGTGAGAAAAGTGCTTTATAAGCGGGAGTCATTATTTTTGTTGTGGTGAGAGAGACATCATTTTTGAAGTGCAGCACTCTTAATTAAAGTGTTTTAAATTATGTTAATATCTTCTTAGCTGGAAAAACTACCACTGATGAGGAACTAGAAGAAATGTTGGAAAGTGGGAATCCTTCTATTTTCACTTCAGATGTAAGCATACAAATGTCACTAGGACTGGATATGCATTTTATTTTTTAAAAAATATTGCAAACCAACCATATGTTCATTAGCATTTCTTTCTTGTTTCTCCATTCCAAAGATTATATCAGATTCTCAAATTACTAGGCAAGCTCTCAATGAAATTGAGTCACGTCACAAAGATATTATGAAATTGGAGTCCAGTATACGAGAGCTACACGAAATGTTTATGGATATGGCTATGTTTGTTGAGATTCAGGTAACTAAATTGATTTGAATTAATTTCTTTAAAAGGAAATCTTCCTTTCATGCCTGTGATTTTTTTGTTTGGTTGAATAATAGCTTCTAGTATGCCTGTATTTTCTGTTCTGTCAGAATAAGAGGAGGTACCTCCTTATGGGACCCCGTTGGTCAAGTGGAGGCTGGATCTCTGCCTGTCCAGGGATGCTTGAGGAGGGGTCCCTTATTCTTGTGTGGGTTGCACCAGGTGGCTTCTGAGGTCCCTTCCAACATGGAGATTTTGTGAATAGTATTTCAGTTTCTCTAAGCAATTGATTAAAATATAAAATGTAAAGTTAGATGACCCCAGAGGTCAGATTGTGTGGCCCTGAACAGATTCTGCTCTCGACTTTTGCACACCATTGAAGGGTCTTGATTTAGCTCAGCATGGATCCATTGAGTCCATTAAAGATGAATACCCCCCTTCTCCATCCTCTCTTTCCCCCTAAATACAATAATCAACTGTTCCCTAATAAATGGATTCTTACTGAAACCTATTTCCAATCTGCACTTTTACTTTTGGCAAAAATTCTTGTAAATTGTTCTTTCTTGTGGGTTCTTGCCCGAATAGTTCTTTAGGATTAAAGGTATAGAGGCAGTGAGACCCTCAGCCATTATTCTCGTGCTGAGAAGGTCCTCATCAGAACTTTACCTAAGTCAATGATTTTAGGTCCCTTTACATTTCTGGTATTTTATCGGGGAGGGGGTTCATGACAAGACTTCACTTCATGCAAACTTCTGTGACCTTTTCAATATGACATCTTTATTTTAAATAACAAACCATAAAGTTGATTGAGAGAAATTGGCACATGCTAGCAGCATTTTTACCAAAAGAGGTTAACAACTACTGTATATATGTGCATGTTTGGGGGAGGGATTATTTCACTTCCTTCTCCCCCTCTCTATTTTGTGTAGTGTCCATTTTCATTAATGATACCAAAAATGGATGCATTAGCAGATGGTACTACTTAATTCCCAATTCCTGAATTATCCCAAAGGAAACAGATTAGCTAGATGAGAATTCTTAGAGTATATTGATATTTGTTGAGTTATTCTTTTATCATACAGATCCTACAGAAGGAAAAGAATTCTTTCATTGGACGTCATTAGAAAAATTTTAGCACTTTATAGATTTGTCAGTTACTTTTAGAAATCATTAGTATAACTTCTCCTACATGGACACACTTGGGGATAGTAATTGTATTGATCTAATCTAGTTTGGTCTATATTGGGAAATTTAAATCTGTGAATGAATGAGTTACTTGTACATCATTCTTCAATGCTTTGCTATTCACTGCTGCAGATTATGTCCGCGAATGGACAGAAACCAGGTAATGTATTTTCTCCCCTATCATTTCACCACATTTCTTTGTTTAAAAATTTGCTTATTAATTCAGCCAATTTAGTGTCAATGTGTAAGCTATGTTTAGTATAGTTAAATTTTAAAAAGTAAATAGTGAAAATTTTACACCCATTTGAAAAGATGCCATTCTCTGTGTGTATATATGTGTGTTTTTAGAGTATGTTTGTGCATGTAGTAAAATATTTAACCCAAAGCTAGCTTCCTTTCCATCTTTATACTCATCCTTAAACTTATTTTTACTGTTTCCATGTTTAGAAAAACTCATATGCCTTTAATTATCAACATTGAAACCTTATCCTTAATTTTAAAAATTGGAATGGAATTTTGTACCATTGTTTTTGGTCAATAGATTTTGCCTTCTTCCTTCCTAAGTGAATGAAAACTTTGAGGCATCCCTTCCATAAGATGCATTCTAATCTCAAAATCATTATTGATGTTATGTGGCTGCTCTTGGGTATGCATCTGGAAGTTCATTTCTTCTAAAATTAAAATTTTTATTTTTAGGGCGAAATGATCAACAACATAGAAAAGAATGTGATGAATGCTTCAGACTACGTGGAGCATGCTAAAGAGGAAACTAAAAAAGCTGTTAAATACCAGAGCAAAGCCAGAAGGGTAAGCTTATGTTGTAGAGCTGCTAAAAATGGACATTTAATAATATGCTACAAACTGGTCTGTGCTTATAGCACACTAATGCTATTTTGTTAGAAAGTTTATTGAAGAAATAAAGTTGAATGCCTGTTCTGCTCTAGGTTAACACATAATGCATTTATTGGATACGTTGACATTATTTTTGTTAACAAGCATAGAAGTTTATTAGGTAAATACTGCTGAATGTACACCTATTTTTGGTACCCAAAATAAGTGCAGACACTTTGCAAATAAACAAGTAATGTTTCCCTTCTCACATGGTAGACTGAAGCAGCTATTTGTTTTAAAGTAGAAAAAGTTTTTTGCATTTATTATGTCTGTCTTTGTAAAAACTGTTGCAAAGTAATGCAGTATTAGATCAGAATAAAACGTTTCCTTTAAAATATTTTCTCATTAATTTTTTGATTTAATAAATAGTTTGTTATGTATTTTATTTGCTTTCTGTTCCCTTGATTTTCGGATTATTTGTCCTTAGTGAACTTCTGCATTGCTGGAAATCTGTTTATTTTATTATTAACAAGTGTTGAGGAATCCTTCAGAATTTTTTTTTTTACTTAAAAGATCAATATGGCAAATGCACCACTAGCCTAAAGCATTTTTTTCTTGACTGTCATTGAATTTACAGCTGGACACCCATCATGTAACATTGTCTCTGTGTAACAGAGGAATGCAGTAGCACTGATAATCTAAGGCATTTTACAATAATGCACAAGTGACATTTAGCTCTGAAATTTATGTTTATATTCATATTGGATTGTAGATGTGTTTGGGAGTTCAAAACACTTTAAAGAAATTATTGGCACTAAATAGTGAAGAGCTGACTCAGGATATCTGGGAAGCCGTCCTGTATCTCCGTTTCACTTCTTGCTCCCCAGTGATGCTGGAGACAGACTAGTGTAAAACATCTTCTTAAGAAGAGTCATTCTCAGAGCACCGTCTGAGGACACTGTCAGACCATTGTCCTTCAGATGCACCTGGAAGTGAGGGAGATAACTTTGAATGAAAATGTCTTTCTTGGTGGTAGATTCTCCTGTTAGTTCACTGGGGGTGTCAGACTGAGAATAGGCAGAAATAATGATATTGTCACCAGATAGTTAAGCAGAGAAGTCAGTAGTACTAGAAAAACACTAAAAACAAGAAAATGTTTATAATTGATGATTGATTTTATAATGATTTTTAAAGTAACATCCAAGCCCTTCAGCTTTACTCTGGTTTATCTTCCTGGGTTATGGCAGGAGAATCTACAGGGTTCTTTAAATAGGTGTAGGGATAGCAAGTTAACAGTGGGAACAGTCCTAAATTGTTGGCATGGCCTAAACAGACCATATTGACTGCATTTTTATTTTTTAATTGGTTGGGTAAACACAGCCTTATTAAGTTCATTGGGATCCCTAATCCTCAGGGTATAAAGGAGCCAGGTCTGGGGTGCCTGTTCTTGTGCATTGATTCCATGGCTCTGCCAAGACAGCTAGACCTTCCAACCTAGAGCTTTTGACAGCTTTTTCATTAGCGTCTTAGCCTCGCCGTTGTTCCTGTTCCAGAACTTGGGTGTTGCATTCACAGGCATCTTGTTTATATTGCAACATTGCTGCTGAGATTGCAGTGGAGTTTTGTTTGGCTCGTGCTATACCAGCCAGCATGTGTGTAATTGGCTCAACGTGGTGACTCGGTAGGTAGTACCAAAGCGTGTAGCCAACATACAAAGTTGTGTTTTATAGTTTTAGGACTTTAGAGACAGATTAAAAGGCGTAAATACGTTGTTGTTCCCATAAAGCTCAAGATCACTAGTTATTGCAGTCCGCCAGTGGGGTTTGGTCAGTGTGGATACCTCCTCATTGATGTGGCTCACCCTGCGTCTACACCTGTGAGTCTTAGGTCTGGTCTTCTCTGCCAGGAGGAATCCCAGCCCAGCGGATGTGTGAGGGCATGAGACTCCAGCCTGTGCAGCTGCAGGCTGCCTGCACTAAGAGCGATGCTGTTTGTTGAGTTCTGCATAGGGTTAAGGTCTGATGTGTTTTGTGGGTAGCGCATCTTTGTAATTGGCAAGTTTTATGGATTTTGTAGATGCTTTCTTTATCATACGGCATGTACAGGGCAAGTCATCAGCACATCAATGATTTATGCATTTCCTTTTATCAGTAATAACACAATATCCTACAGCATTGGTGGCATACAATGCCCTTTGAGAACCATTGCCCTGCACCTTAGTAGAATATTCTCCAGTAATTACTCGAGCTGGAGAATTCATCACTGAATTGTGGTCCATCTGGTGAAGAGCTTCTTAGCAGCTCAGCCCCGCTGCCCTTGGGGGCAGGAAGACAATGTCAGCTCTGGGTCCACACTCGTCTTCCCAGCTTGGACCTACCCTACCCAGTGTCAGCTCTGGACCCGCACTCAGAACCTTCCCAGCTCAGACCCACCCTACCCCAGTGCCAGCTCTGGGCCTGCACTCAGAGCCTTCCCAGCTTGGGCTTACCCTACCTACCTGGACATCCGCTTTATTAGCACAGCCTTTAAGAACCCAGAGTCACTGTCAAGCTACCAGGAGGTAGCAAAGACTTTCATATATCTATCAAATGCGTAGCCTGGATCTCAGGAGAATAGGGATTTAGCAATATTCATAATCATAGGGCAGTTTCTGTGCCTGATGGTCTCACTGTAGCAAATTAATGATAGCTTTTTTTTTTTTAATTGAGAATTAGGTCAGACAGGGTTCAAGGAGTCATTACCTGGAGTTTGAATTGAGTTATGTCAAGCCTTTGGGTTGTATTAAGATACAGAAGGGGTCTTAATCCTGAGGCTGAAAATTAATTGTGATATAATCAGCTTACTTTTCTTTGACAGAAAAAGTGGCTAATTGTTGCTGTCTCGCTGGCGCTGGCTGCCCTGCTTGCCCTAATTATTGGTTTATCAGTTGGCAAATGATGATGCGTGGATACCTGCAGCGTGCTTGCCTCTCTGCCATTGCGGCAGTAAGTAACTAATTGGCTAACTGTGTTTTTGTCACTTTTTAACTTTTGTAATTTGCCACAGTAGTGATAATCCCCTTTTAGTTCCCCTTTAAAAGTAACGAAAGCCTGGCTGGTGGCTGCCCCCTCACCTGTTCCTTTCTAATGCATGGTGCAAATGCTATCACCTTAGAGTCATTTTGTCTGTCTTACTGAAATCTGTGCCCCCAAAGTAGTGCATTTGCTCTGAATAATTCACTTTCTAATGAGAGTCATTTTGTTACATGGAATTTTATTATTTTTTAAAAGGGGGGCCTTCTGGAGTTTGGCCCCAGAATCACTTATTTCAATATGATAATAGTGACATCTTTACTGAGAACTATATTTAGGTCCTTTTAAATCTAGAGTACCTTTCGTCTTTTTACACATAAATGTGTTTCATTACTTTTTTTGTCCAGGGGTTTCAGTCATGTCCAACTCTTCATGACCATTTTGGGGTTTTCTTGGCAAAGATACTGGAATGGTTTGCTATTTCCTTCTTCAGCTCATTTTACAGATGAGGAAACTGCGGCAAACAAGGTTGAGTGACTTGTCCAGGGGTCACCCAGATAATAAATGTCTGAGGCTGGATTTCAACTCAGGAAGATGAGTCCTCCTGACTCCAGGCCTGGCACCCTATCCACTGTGCCAGATAGCTACCCTCTTTCATTACTCACTTGAAAAAAATCATTAATATTAAAAAATTACTTAGAAAAATCTAAAATTTTGTTCAGTAGGGGTAAATGGAGGTAATATTTCTAAGATATTCTAATAATACTATTTCAACATTTTAACTCTTATAGAAGACACTATTTGCAAACCAATTTCTAATAAAATTTTACTAACTTCATAACTACAAAAAAAAGAATGTGATGGAATACAAGGGAAATTTCACCCTATTCTTTCATTTTGGGGTACTTTTTCTGTCATATATGCCATGAGCATTAGAATGGATTTTCGTGTGAGAGGCAAAATAAATTATCTTACTCATAGGATTTGCCTCTGAAATGGGTAATTTTCCTTTCTTAAGATATGCCCTTAGTTATATATTCTAGTGGCAAAACTCTCCTCCTCATTGTTTCAGCAACAGGCTGGTGCGGTGCTATCAGCAGGTCCCATTTCTAGCTTTGTTGGAATTTGTAAGAATACTTTTAGCATAGTTATTTATCCAGAATTCCTTGACACTTGAGCAGTACAGTTACAGGGCATCATGACCAAAGCATAGGTTTAAAGTCCACAGGATCTGTATTTGAATCCTAGCTCTACCACTGGCTGACACTGGTGTCGCCCCGGGCATGCCACTTTATCTCTTGGGGTCCTGGATGCTTCATTTATTCAGTGAAAGTGGGTTAAGTTAGATGACTGCTAGTCTTCTCTCCCCCCCATAAATCCTATGATCCATGAAAACTCTGGGAAACAGTTCCACAATAATAACAGAATCCTTGTGTTTTGATGTTTTTTTCCAAAGAAGTCTTCCTAAAATGTGATATCAGAAAAGAGTTTCTCAGTTTGTGGTCTATGCTGGCAGTTTTCAAAGTGTGGTCTAGAGACCCCTGTACTCACAGAACCCGGTCTGTGAGGTCAAAACTTTATCATAATGATGCTAAGATATTTTACCTTCTAGTGTAGTAAATGACAAGAGGTATAATTTACATAAACAAAAGCTCTTTGGGGAAGAGTCATCAGTAATTTTTAAGAATGTAAAGGAGTCCTGAGACAAAGAAGATTGATAAGCACTGATCTATATCAATAAAATAGTTAATTGCATATTATTGCATGTTCATGATCAAGGTGGCATTTCCTAACCAGTATAGAATCAATCCCAAGAGCCACCCACATTAGAGTAAAAAGTCTACAGTTGGCCAGCATTTAGTGCTAAAGAGGTTTCACAAATTAAACCCTTAACCCTAGCCAGATGTTTCACCAGTTCAAGAAAATATGGATGAATCAGTATAACTCTAACGAAAATACTGTAAAAACACCAAGTACACACCTTCTCACGTTTGTATGTGAGGAACAGAAGAAATTTGTCTTTTTATAAAATTATTTAGACTTGATACAAAGTAAAATGCAGATCTCTAGGTAAAAAGGTTAAAGCCAAGCATTACTCTGGGAGCCATAAGCAGGGGATGAGAACAGGATTTTTGTAAGATGTATTCATAGTGCCTGAGTGCAGTTTATATATTCACAATTGTTTAGTGCAAGATGTATTTCACCGTGCCTGAATGCTGTCGGATGGATTGGCACATCATTCCGAAGAGTACTTCCTGCTTTAGGCAGCCCTTGTCCTTCACCTAGAGCAGGGCTGCTTCAACTTTGTCTACTCTCCTTTTCCCATCTTGGCAGCCTTCTTTGGTGTTGCATGGCCTGAAGTGAGCATGCTGTGTGTTCAGAACCAAGGCTGTGGTGAAGTTGTGCCATGCAACACAGGCAAACACTGCCAGGAACAACTTGGATTCATTGCATGTTTGATTTTGAATTAATTTTTGGTAGCTTTATGTTCAGACACCTTTTATGTTGCTTATGTTTTTTTGCGGCCCTATGGGGTTATGACCCCCAGTTTAAGAAGTGTTGATATAGGGCACCTGCTGTATGCAGAAGATGGTATGGGATGTTGGAGGAGAGAAAAAAGAGAAAGAAAATTGATTTCCACCCCTAAACAAATGATGGTCTTGAAGGGGAAACAAAACACATACTCATAATACAGTGGAGCACTTAGAAATAATACAGCTGAAGGTCAAACTAGTGGGGTAAGTTTTTGTTCCCTAAGTTTCTGTGGAAAGTAGATAGGACAAAGTCAGTCGAGAAGGCAGGCTTACTGTACAAGGGGAGGGTTTCCCTGGGTTTTGAAGGATATGAGAGCTATGAATTGTTGGAGACAAGGGAATACATTGCAGTTAACAATGAAATACAGATTTAATAATGCAAAGAAGGTACAGTTAAGACAGCTGAATAGGTCTGGATTTTAATGATGGAACAATTGGAAAAAATTCTCAGTTGGTAAAAGTGTATTCAAGGGACTTGTGAGCAGCGTGAAATGTCGGTGAGAAGAGGAGGCCTGAGGTCAGCAGCCAGGTCACATGTCAGGTCCTGGGAGGTGGGGTGTGGCCATTGATGGAAGTGGCCATTTTCTACCTTGGCCCAACCCTATGAAGTTTGATACCCTTAGTTCAAATGCTGATCTCTCAGTAGAATTCAACAAAAATGTTTTATGTGCTTTCTCTGTGCAAGGCCCTGAGATAGAAAGATGAAGAGGGTCTACTTTCAAGAAGTATTTGTTCTATGGAGTCTAAAAGGAAAGGGGAGATCCTGCAGTATAATAGATTTTTGATCCCATGAACCCTCCTTCCCTCCATCCTTTGGGAAGTACTGGGGCCTTTAGCCAGAGATGGATGGGACTCACCGTACAAAGCATGTTTCTATAAAAAGGAAATCATTAGTCCCATGCTTGTCACATTTTACTTAAAGGGAAAATGTTTTAACCTGAAAAGTTGATCAAATGGGCACATTTACAACCAAATTCAGTAATATTTTATTAGCCAAATTAAATAGAAACCCATTGAAGGCATTAAAAAATGTCATCATTTATCCAGGTGGAAGCATTTTCTAGACAGTTTCATCATGTTCAGTAGAAAGCATTTATTAAGCAAACCAGCATAGACTTCACAAGATGTTGTAGCAGATAAAATAGAGGCCATAAACAAAATTGGGAGAAACCAACTTCAAACAGTTTTGAAGTATTAAGACCTAGAAAAAGTCCATTTTTGTCAGACACACACACACAAAGTATGAGGGTGAACCAGTATGAGTATGAGTGGTCATTTTGCATTATAATGCATGCATTAGGGTATCCTAAGATGTAGTACTCAAATGGACAACTTTCCATATTCCTGAAGTAAAACTTTTTAAAGATCTGCTTAAATATACATTCCTTATGGTTCTTCTTGTTTTGACTTCATTATTTTTCTGTTGTTCTTGGTACTGAGCCTATATTCTGCACTGTTCTAGCCAGATGTTGTCAAAGGCAGTGACTTGTAATTTATTTCCTGTTGATGCAATCCATTTTTGAAACAATTTGATAAATTAACTGAGGTTTTTCTTTATCTTACAGAAAATGATGTTCATAATTATTTGTGTAATTGTTTTGCTTGTGATCCTTGGAATTATCCTAGCAACAACATTGTCATAGCAAATGCATCTCAGGAGCTGATTATCTTTGGAGCGTCAGAGCACATCTGTGGTGAAACCCACGCCCCATCTTTTCACGAATGAACCACACACGTTGAGACTAGTGGTATTCATGCTGCCGACTCACTATTAGTGACTTCAGGGGGAAAACTCCAGAAAGTGATGTGCACAAAATCGACCAGAGGAAACGGAATGGAGGTCATGAGTTAATCACAAATGTCCTTTGATTGTAAATAGCAGACACCAAGAATTTGACAATGGGAAACATGCTTTAGTGGCCTTAAAATAAGAAATGATCGAAGACTTCAATTGTTGACATTTCAGTGTTAAATTAATATGAAGTTTAATTAGGAGTACGTGCTGTTACGAAGCAGTTGGGTTCCAGCTCTGTGACTTCCTTTCCCCCCACAGCTTGTGTGTGCTCATTAAGAGAAGTTTTTCTACTATGTTTATTTCTTGTTGGCAAAATAATTCTGATTATCCAAACAACTCTTTTGTAAAACGTTGACAATTTTAATATATTAACTTAATACATTAACATCTTTATTTATCCTATTTTATATATTAAACATTGCCTTTGTATAAAATCTTCATTTAATTTTTAATCCTTCTTTGTACAGTATCCTTAAATAAGTTTGTCAATAAAGAAAAGTTGCCATCATCACCAGAACAGTGGACATGAAACACCCAAATAGTAATTCAAATGCCTTCTGTTATTAACCAATAGCAAATCTTGTTATTAGTGATTTGCAAATTAATTCAATCTGATTTTAATGCCCTCTAGAAAAGCCTAGATTTTTGTATTTAACTCTACTTCTTCCTGTTTTGTAACCCAAGATAATAAATTAGTTACTACCCTGTAATGATAATGGTTTGTTTTCTTTGTTCACTGTTTACATGTTTCCTTGGTTTACAGAATTCAGATTGAAATGGAAATATGGTGAAACAACCAGACTGGTCGCACAGATCTAAGAAATGATCTTTTTCTTAAGTCATCCTTTGCCAGTGAGGTCATTTCCCTGCTTATTTGAATCTTACAATGCTGGGTATGCTCGTGTCTGATTACCCGAAGACCACTGATCCTTTAAAATTTCTTGAAGTTTACATAACTCAATGATGATTTCAAGGCCCAGAGTTTCATTACTTAGCTTCTTTGGAATTTCTCAGTATGAAGGACTTCTGGTGTGGCCTGAAGCGGGTGAAGCGTTACTGCTGACTGTACATCCCTTCCACTAGTTTCACATTCAGAGTAAATGTTTAGAGCATTTCCAAAGGAGAGTCAGCTTGTGTGGTGGTGGTGGGGAGAACCACGTGTGGCTGAGGGTGGATACGGGCCTCTTCCCAGATGTTTGTTTGAATGTACATGGTGTTAGATGCATTTGTATACAAACTGTAAGATGGAAGTACAGGGGTGCAATAGTTTACCATGAAGTGGCTAAAGGCAGGTTTCTTTCTTTAATACAATTATGAATTTCATTCACATTCCTGAGTGCATTCTCAAATATGTCTTCTTCATTCTATAGTACTGCATTTTGTTTACTTTTTATACACGATTGTACATTTTGGAATTAATGAGTATCTTTAAACAGATGCATCAAGCATAATATGTTTATTAATCTAACCTATATTTTGCCCTTTGGATATTTGGATACTAAGCTTCTCTAGCTAGAATCCTCGTTAGTGAAATTGTTTTATATGGGCTTTTGTCCATTTATTTGTCAGAATTATGTACAATTGTAGAACTTTGTGATATTGAACAACCAGTTGTCTGTGCCTGTGAGTCCTGGTTCTTCTGGGCCTGATCGCATTGAAACTTGGCATTCATAATAATTCTCATTCTGGTGGTGTCTTTGGTGTCTTTCTGACCTCATTTGAAGTATTGGATTTTAAAAAATTTTTATGTTTGAGTTGATAGAAATGATCTTGATTTATTTTTAGATATTTAAATCAATCAATAGGTGGCACGCTGATGTACACAAATCACTTTCACGTACTTGGTATTAGAATTTTAGAATGTATTTGTAGATTTCTTTGTGACTTTTTGTAGTTTGCATTGTTCCCTAAATGTTGCATGTTTCTATTAAAAAAAAAGTTTGCAGAAGGTCACACATGAAATTTGTGCTTGCATTCTTATTTCTGGAAAGCTGTATGGGAGAAATATTTTATTGCATCTGCATTAATAAATTGTTCTGTTAAAGAAAAATACTTTTGTCTGTGGCCATTATTACATATCTGGAAGTTAGTAACAGCGGAGAGAGCCCTACGTTTGGAAAGAGAGGAGCTGGGTTGGAATCCGGTATCTGCTATTGACTACTTGTGTCAACTAGGACATATCACTTCTTTGGCCTCAGTTTCCTTATTTGGACAATGACCCCTTGGTTTGGACCAAGTCATGTTTTAGACCCTTTCTAGCTAAAAATCTATGATCCTGTGAATTTGCATTTTTGTTTTTATTAATTTTAAAATATATCTATGAGCCTTTAAAGTGCTTATCCCTAATATCACAACCATAACTCATCTGGACCTCCTTACTAAGGGCTTATGGAGAGTTGGATAATGAGGCGTCAAGCTTACAGACCACCCAGCAAGAAGCCATATTAAAATATAACTGGGAAACATTTGATAAAATAAAAACAGCACAATATAGATAATATTAATTTGTGGCTTTCTGAGTCAGTATGGGACTAGCAGGGATCTGTTTTCTGTTTGGGTTTGACACCGCTGGTGCTCACAGTGAACAGTGTTCATGACTCAAGTGATATGTGTGTTTGGTTGGAAGTGGCAGAAGAGAGGGGTGAACTCGCTTCTCTGGCATTTTCACATCCTAGAAGTCAGTGCCATGTTTTGGGTTCTTTGGAGAGATCTTACTAGTCACAGATAGTTTTCACCAGATTGTTGGGGCTACATCCCAGAAAGGCTGGACCACTTGGTGTCAGAAAGACCTGAGTTTGAGTTCTGCCCCGGCTATTTACTCACTGTGTGACCCTGGACAACTCATTTAACCTCTTTAAGCCTCAGTTTCTCCATCTGTGAAGTGGGACAATAGAAGCACCTCCCTCACAGGGTGATTGGGAAGACCAAACAAGATGACTCATAAAAAGCTCTTTGCAAATCTGCAACCATTTTATATAAATGCATAGCTCTACATTGGACCATTTTGGTACTTAAACATTTATACTAGAAATATCGACCTTCGATGTGCTGTTGCATCTTCCGTGGTTCTTGATTTCACCCTGCAATCGCAGTCTTAGTCCGCAATGTTGAGCCCAACCCATGCCTGAATAAGCTTGCTGTCTACCACACACCCAAGTGGTGACTAGACCCTTGCCTGAAGACTTCCAGGGAGGGAAAGTTCACTACCACCTCAGGGAGTCCATGCTGCCTTGGGAGAAGGTTTTGTTTTTGTTTTTGTTTCTGTGTATGTGTTTTCTCCTGAGATCTAACCTAAAATTATCTCTGTGCATGATCTACCCATTCCTCCTACTTCCACTTCTGGGACTGAGCAGAACAAGGCTCATCCCTCTTCTCCATTTTGAAAAATCAGAACAGTTGCCCTTCTCCCGTCTTGTAGAATTTACTTCACTTTCCACAATCTTTCAAAGGTCACTGTGGCTTGGTCATCAAAACTGCTAATTCTTTTAATCAAGCCAAGTCAACAAGCATTTATTTATTTTAATTTTTAAAAATTATTTTATTTTTCCCCAATTACATGTAAAAACAATTTTTAATGCTTTTTTTAAAGTTTTGAGTTCCAAAATCTATTCTTCTCTCCTCAAGACAAGTAAGCAATCTGATGTGTTATACACGTGCAGTCATGTAAAGCATTTACATATTAGTCATTTTCAACAAGCATTTATTAAGCACCATCTGTGTGCCAGGCACTGTGCTAAGTACTGAGGATTCAAAGAAAAGCAAACAAAAAACCCCCAAACCCCCAAAATGGTCTTTGCCCTCAAGGAGTTTACTATCTTATATGGGAAGATGCCATGAAAAAAAAATGTGTATAAACAAAATATGTACAAAATAAATTCAAGTTATTCTTAGAAGGTATTAGTATTAAGGAGAATTGGGAAAGGCTTTTTACAGAAGGTAGGATTTTAGCAGAGACATGAAGGAATCCAAGGAAGGCAGGAGGCAGGGATGAGGAGGGGGAGCATTACAGGCATGGGAGACAGCCAGAGAAAATACTTGGAGTTGGGAGATGAAGTATTGAGTGTGAAGAACAGCCAGGAGGCCAATGTCACTGGATTGCAGAGTGGAGTGGAGTAAGGTGTAAGAAGACTGGAAAGGTAATAATAGGGGCCAGTTTTCCTACCCTATCCTGGAGGTAGGTAATAAGAAGCCACTGGAGTTTACTGGATAGAAGGGCTGAGGGCTGAGACCTGCACTCTTAATAGCTGAGTGGATGAAGTTGAGTAGGGAGAGACTGAAGCAGGCAGATCCACCAGCAGGTTTTTGTAGAGTTCAGGCAGGAGGTGATGAGGACCTACAACAGAGTGGTTAGAGAGAGAAGGGGACATTATCCAAGTGATGTTAAAAAAATTGAATTAATGAGCTGTAGCAACTGATGGGGTCCAGGGCAGAGGGTGGGGCAGAGAGCAAAGATTCAAGTGTAGTGCATAGGTTGCAAGCTTGGGTGAATGAGAATGGTGATGCCCTCCATAGAAGTATGGAAATTAGAAAGAAGGTTTTGGAGGAAAGGTAATTGAGTTTTCAACATGCTGAGTTGAAGATGTCAATGGGAAATCCAACTTGAGATGTCTAAATAGGCAGTTAGTGATGTAAGAGTAGAGGTCAGAACAGAGTCTAAGGCTGGATAAATGCACCTGAGAATTAACAGCATGAAAATGATAATTGAATCCATGGGAACTGATGAGATTACCAAGTAAAATAGAATAGTTGGAGAAGAGAACAGGGCCCAGGACACATCCCTGTAGGACACCTAAGGTTGGTAGGGATGAGTTGCATGAAGATTCACAAAAGGAGACCAAGAAGGAGGAGTCAGATGGGTAAGAGGATAAACAGGTGAGAGTGGTGACCTGAAAACCTAGAGAGGACAGAATATCAAGGAAGAGAGGATGATTGACAGCATCATGCACAGAGAGGTCAAGAAAGATGAGGATTGAGAAAAAGCCATTGGATTTGTCAACTAAGAGATCATTGGTACCCAAAGATGCAGTGTACCTGGGCCAGGTGATGGGCTCATCAGGGGCAGTTTGGTGCTCCCAGTGACTCAACTTGGATAACTGTTCCCCGTTAGCTATTTCTGTTCAGTCCTTTCCAGTCTAAAGACCATTCTCTTTGGCAGTGAAAGTAGAATAATCATTTATCATCGTTTATCAACTGTGTCATTAGTTATTAGTGTCCCGCCCACCCCAAATATTTCTTCCACCCTTATCATTATTTAACATTTAAAAAAAATTCCAACATCATGGAAAGTATTTTGTCAAAACTGACATTAAAGAGAGAAAAAAAATGAGACAAAATTCCAACAATGTTGAAAAGCATTTTGGCAAAACTAACGTTAGAGAAAAAAATGAGACAATGTGGTGCAAAGTCATTCAGGACCAAGAAATTCTTACATATCTAGATTAAAAATTTTGATAATATTTCCAATCTGAACCTTAATATAGAGTTCCAAAATCATTGGGTCCCTTGTTCACGTTTTTAAAAGAAAATTAAAATAAGGTATTTTTTTTGGGGGGGGTAGAGTGAGGGGGGTGAATTTTGTCCCTTTTATTTATTTGGTTTAGGGTAGTGGTATCAAACTCATAGAAAAAGGGAGGGGCACTGAACTGGGCAGGCCATATATTGACTTAGAAAACCACATTTTAGCATTATCTATGTTCTACTTCATCTCAATTACATTTTAATCTGGGAGTGTCGCCTGGCAGCATGTCTAAGTGGGGTGTTCGATACTTCTGGTTTAGGGGACTCCCTACGTAGAAATCCGTCCACCAATGGAGATCAACAACTCTTCTTCAACTCAGCATCATTAGGAGTTGCTTGGAATACTATGAGGTTCAAGTGACTTGCTGGTGATCACTTAGATACCTTTTTTTTTTACCCATGTTTCATTAAGAACAGACCCCTATCTTTCCTAGAATTTTGAAAACTGTGCAGATTTAAAAGATTGTAAACTCCACAGTGTGGGCCTCTTCTTTCCTCATCCTAACAATGAGGGGGTTGTATGTGCCGATCTCTAAGGTTCCTTTGAGCTTAAAATCTTATGATCTTATGATATCGGGCAAGGAGAAGGAGTGAGAGTTTTGGGGGGAGGAATTTCATAAGGCGTTGGGGAAAAAATACACTCAGCGGGCTTATTTTAGAAAATCATTCTGGTGAGTGATAAAAAGAATAGCCACAGGATATTTAATAAGGTTTGGCCTTCTGGAAAAGCTTCAGAAACAGCTATGAGTTGGTATTAAATGTGCTCTGATATTCTTCTATGTGACTCATGTGCCAGGCTAAATATAAACATGCAGGGGTTCTTCTGACTTGGGTCAGTGGGCCAATCCTTGCACCTGGGAAAGCGGCTCGGGTTTTTTTTTTTCCTTCCCCTACATACGGTGATTGGTTCCTTTGCTACGAAGTCACTGGCTCTATTTTAGAGAACATAGGAAAGCATGCTAAGTCTGTGCCTACAGAACAGTCTCAACCTAAGAGAAAACTGGACTCCCCGAGGCCAAGTTTCTTTAAGGAAAAATACAGTTCCTGAAAACAAAAGGCAGTCTTCAAGCACTGGGAAACACAAGTGTTACTTGGATGTTGAGTTTTGTTGTTCTTCTCAGCTGTTGTTGGGGAACAGGATTGGTTTTACGAGGAACAAAATGGACGTGGTAAGTGCCAGCAGGCCTCAACAGAGAGCTGTTATCTTCGTGTTAAATGCTAAGTTTTTACAGTTTTGGTCACATTCATCAGTCAGCAAAGGGTTGATTGTAGTGGGGTACGGAGCTGAATTTGGTGGCTAATTGTCTGTTTGCCATTAGGAGTGATTATGGAAATGGATTTGACATGTTCATAGTGTCCAGGAAGAAAGACTAGCAGATAATTTAATTAATGTGACATCTTGCTGTCCTTTTACTTTGGCTGTTAAGTGAGATTAAATTTAATTA